CCTTGCCTAATGTCATATTTAATAAGTTTAAAACTTCAATAAAGTCACAATATTTAAATTTTATTTACAATGAATGTATCAATAATATACTAGTAGATAACTGTAAAAAAAAAAAATAATAAAATAAAGTTATTCGAAAAAAAATCTAATTTCCCGACCAGTGCCAAGTATAACAACACGTTTTTTTATCTTTAAAAATAATTATTTCTTCAATACTTTTTTTTTTAATTTGAAAAATTATAACTTATTAAAAAATTATTTATATTGTAGATAAAGAAGTTGACAATGAATAATTATCAATATTTTTTATATTCTTGGCAATCTATTAATTTAATGATATATAAAATGAAATTTAAATATTAAAAAGGATTGGTTGATATTAACTAGCGCTAGTAATAGTATTTTAATTTATAATAAAATTTGCTAAAACAATATAAAATTTTTGTACGAAAGAAGCCACCAAAAAATGTAAACGCAGAAGAAAAGATCTGGAATGAAATATAGGATTTTTTTTTCTTAAGATTATGACGAATTTAAAAGGAAGGACCATTATACTCGATCTTATTTTTCTGTTTTCTTTTCTAAATCAATAATTTTTTGTCTAAATTTTGCAACTATACATTATGTTAGTGTTTTAAATTGGCCTATCTTCAAGTTAATATATCAATAAATTATTATATCAATGCGTGAAAATCATATAAATAAGAATTGGCATATTTGGCGTGATTAACTTTATTTAAGAAAGTTCTTTTTTTTTTTAATGTCTGCAAAAAATACAGAATGGAGCTATCAAAGTCACATAACAGATGCAAAAGAAATCAAAAGACTTAAACTTCCAGAAAATGTAATCAAAGACAATGAAATAAATACAAAATAATTGTTAAACAGAAAACTTAAATTATTTGATAATGACCAAGACCATAGAGAACCGTGAATTGCAGGACCAATGGCATGAGCCAAAGCGAACAAGGTTTGAGCTACTCCATTAGCAGTATCTATTATAATTAGGTGTAGAGTTTTGAAGCTATAAACATGAAAGTTAGCTGATGAAGTTTAAGATGAATATTCATTATTTAACGATACTTACAAATAATATGCATGAGCGATAAGAAAAAACATCCAACATTTGCTTGATCGCTAGGGCAAATATGGTAAATATTACGATACCATTATCAGAAGGAGATAAAGTTATCGCAAGCCTGTTAATTAGAGGAAATAATAAATAGGCAGGAATATAGAGAAAACACCCTAGTTTGTATACTTTTTCCAAGTTTTCTTTGTTAGTTGCCAAAGAATAAATTATGAAATTAGCAATGATATTTAAAATTCCCACAGAGTTTAAGGTCAATGACAGTTTGATGTCACTAAATCTCAATCCTCCTGACATGATATCAGTAACAGAATAAATCGCATAAATTTCATCAAAGGAAACAGTATGAAAACCTAGAATAACGTAACTAATTATACATATCCACATAGTTGATGGTATGTATAAGATAGAGTGAATTAGAGAATTTGGATTAGATAATCTTAACTTGACGTTAGAATGCAAAAGAGGTTTTTGTTCAGGATTAGAAAAATAAGTTTCAGGTAGTAGAAAATATCCAACTGTAAAGCCAGTAAATAAAATTAAAGCCACGAAAGCACAAGGAAGAAAATAGGGATAGGTTTTCAAAAAAGGAAAATTTTCAAAAAGAAACGGATATTTGATGGTCAGATTTGAAAGATGGCCACCAATAGCAGAACCTGATAAAAAAATATAGATAGTTAATTTAGAGAAAAGAGATGAATGTGAATGTAAAAAATATCTTACCTACTGAAAATAAAAAACAAAACCAAATGTCACATTGGTTCTTTCTTTCTCGATTCTATAATGAAAAATCATTTACCAAGCAAACCAAAACTCCAACAGAGCCCAGGAAGAGAAAAGGCCTCTTTTTGGTTTGTTTTGTCAGTAACTTCTGCAAGCATGCTTTTGGCTACACCCACATTTCCTAATGATAATATAGTGAGCGCAAAATTAAACAAAATTATAAATTATTCAATTTATCATTCAGAAGACCACACAATGCTCAAGATAAAATGGCCCATGTTAGTGATCTGCTAATGCCAAATAGAATGCAACTTAGTATGCTTTCTAGTAATTCAAGCAGAAAAACTAGACATCTGCCAACCTGTCGGACAGCCATCCCCCAAAATATGCAAAAGAAAATTTGGGAAATATAGAAAAATGAATCTATTGAAAGATGTTATGAATAGCTTTTAATCAAATTTATGCAAATGTACAAATATATTAGGAATAATATATAGTATTACTAATCAACTCTGCATATTTGTCAATTTCTTTATCATCGTCAGTAATTTTAAAATCTTTCACCTAAAATAAAGTAAAATTTTAACTGTGAATAACTATTATTGATAAATGCAGGTTATGCACCATAAAATATACAAAAGACAATAAAATTGAATAATTAATTGGTTTGCTAATTAAAATTAAACCGAGTATAAATAATATACTCTATAGTAAAGGTGTTCTCTCTTTGTTAATAGAGTAGTTTTGTTCAACAACTATTTCTAGTGATTCGTGATCATCATCAATATCCATATCGATATCTATGTTAGAAATGGATAAAACTTTAAAAGACTCGACGGCCAGACAATTTATAGTTCATTTTTATTTTTGTCGCATCAATAATTTAATTATTGATCTTTTCAAACTGCAAGTATATATTGTTTGCTATTAAATTACAATTTCACTATTATTTTAATTAACAAATAGGATTAATTTCGCGTAGTTTGGAAACATATAACTGTATTTTAATTTTAATTTTTTGCATTAAATTAAATAATTCTTAATTTGCATAAATTGATTTTAGTTTAATTTTAACGTTAACGTTAATGGACAATTTGAGAAATTGTAATTGTTTACATTTGAATTGATCAAAATTTCAAAAAAAACCAAAATTTAGCGTGAGCAGATTTATGCACTGCAGAATTCAGGACACTCTAATATGGTCACATTGCATTATGGTGCTTTGCAATAAAATGTGACACTGTGATTTTTGTGATGTTAGATGGAAATTTCTGCAATTTAAAATTTAATATCAATCATATATTTCAATAAGCAATTTTATATTTGTTTAAAATCTTTATTGTTATAATTGTCGGAGAATCTAAAATCTGCTGATTTCTTGTGATTTCACATAATATTGTAATCTGCAGATGTCACACTTTATTGCAAAATGCTATAAATGCAATACACATCATCAAACATATAATCCTTTATTATTAATGAAAAGACAGCATTGGATTTGTTAGGGAAATATAAAAGTAAAAGTCGCTCAGTTGATAAAGACTTTTTATTTCACATCTTTTAATACAATGATTTCGCCTTTTTCAAAAATAACATTAGTTCCCATAATGTTGTAAGAAATTATTATTAATATAAATGAAAAAAAAATTAAAATCGATTCATCAAAAATAAAATATCTAATTGTAATAATCTTCTCTAATATATCAAATTCTATAGACTATACAAGATTAATTTTGACTAGCATTAAAATAATGCCAATGCAAGCCAGCATTAAGTTAGATATTTGTATGAAGATTTCTTAAGAGATATCTTACCGTTATATTATTATGGCGCGTTTGCAGATACCCCAAAATTTAAAAATTTTGACCTATTGAAAGTGAGTCAATTTAAAGAAAGTAAAAAAAAAAAAAACACACACATACACATAATAGGAACTAGTACTTTTATTTGAATCAAAAATCTTAAGTTAGTTTACTATTAGTGTCTCAAATTAGATAACAGTATTTCGATTTAATAATGGCAACCTGTTTAATCTTAAGCAAATAAACAAT